ACTCCCCCTCCAGCCCCTCCCTGTCTTCCTCCCAGAGTGAGTACCAAGCATGTCCCACCCCTACTCTTCGCATGGTAGCCAGTCACAGGACTGGATATTTCAGTGCAGGCCTGTGTGAGAGCCGGTGGATTTAACAGTCAGTGTAGTTCACAGAGTAAATAATGATGTGCTGAGCTGCTGTTGTGTCTGCCGGGGTGGAAACTGAACTACCTGGATGCGTGTGTTGCTTCTGAGCCTTATTAACCTCCCCTGTGCGCTGTAACAGAGAGCACCACTGACTGCAGAGCAGTTTGTGCATCGTTTGCTTGCTTTCGTGGTGTGTTTAAACACATTGTTGGCAGTGACAGAAGATGTGCTTATATTAGTGCCTTTGACTGCTGTTCAGCACCACATGATAAACAGGATCTTGATTTTATGAGTCTAGATGTTTGACTTCACTGATGTTTAAGCATTTCTTTTGTTCAGTAAGCGTAAGTCATTTCACCCTAAACACTTGACAAGACAAGTTTCAGGTTCTTTACATATTCTCAGTGTGTACAAGTCCTAACCGACTTTGCTTGAGCTCTGTGTTGTTGCCTTACCACATTGAGATGTTTTAAAAACTAACTGCTCACCATCTGTCCAGCTGTTATCATTACCTCTGAACTTCTGTCCCTGCTGTCCTCTGCAGCACGCAAACAAGAAATTATCAAGATAACGGAGCAGCTGATAGAAGCCATCAACAACGGAGACTTTGATGCATATGCGTGAGTTTGTGTTTTTTGTGTGTGATTTGTCTTTGGCTTGTGGTCAAATGTACAGTATAAGGTTGACGCATGGCTTCACTAACAAGTCCTGGTCTCCTCCTCCTCAGTAAAATCTGCGACCCTGGACTGACTTCATTTGAGCCTGAGGCGCTGGGAAACCTGGTAGAGGGGATGGATTTCCACAGATTTTACTTTGAGAACCGTAAGTTTAATAGAGCTGTTGCTACTTGCTTACTATCTTTATTTCCCAGTCTTAGTTTTACTCCTCTGATTAGTATAAATCACAAAATGGGGCCTAAACAGAGAAATGTGGTCTAGCAGCTGTACATCTGTCTGTTTGTCCTGTTGTTAGTTTCAGGTGTCAGAAACACACACCACGAAATGATTTCAACTGAAAAAATAAAATGGAGTAATCTCACTAAAGCTCATTGCTGTATTTGCTTCACCCTGAGGTCCAAGTGTGTGTCCAGGGTTTTGAGCACTTTTAATACAGTTCACATTTACATGTGAGGTATATTAAAATTTGTAATAGTAGTACTTCATCATTCATTATTGTTCTTCTGCTTTCAGTTTTGGCTAAGAACAGCAAGCCCATCCACACCACCATCCTGAACCCCCACGTGCACCTGATCGGCGAGGACGCGGCCTGCATCGCTTACATCCGCCTGACCCAGTTCGTTGACAGCCAGGGTCGGCCGCGGTCTAGCCAGTCAGAGGAAACTCGTGTCTGGCATCGCAGAGACAGCAAGTGGCAGAACATCCACTTCCACTGCTCAGGTGCACCAGCTGCGCCGCTCCAGTGAGGTACGGGGGGTGGGGGGGGTGACAGCAGACGGTGTACCAGAATCAAATTTCTTGTGTGTCCGACACACCTGGCCAATAAAGCTGATTCTGAGTCTGTCAAATATGAAGCTGGAGAGGTAAAAATTCCAGCTTCACTTTCAGTATAAACAACAATTTATGACTTAAAGAACAATTTTTGTTTAACCCATATGTTTCAGCTTGTGGCCTTCATCACCTGGAGCCAGGAGACTGTTAGCTTGACTGTGAGCTTAGCATAAAGACCAGAAACAAGTGAAACAGCTAGCCTGGCTCTGATGGGAAAAAAATCATCCCACCAGCACCTCTAAAGCTAAATAAATATCAGTATTTGTAGTAAACCTGCAGTGTAAAATGATGCCTTTAGAGGATCTGAATGTTATCGTTGGACAGAGCTAGGCTAGCTGTTTCCCTCTGTCTCTGCACTTCATGCTAATCTAAGATAATCAGCTTTTCCAAAGTGTTAAAAAGTGGGCTGGACTAATCAGATTTTCATTGTTTTCCTTCTCAGGTCACCTGCCATAGTTTTGTCTGTCGGGAGTGCTCTGCTGGAGAGAGAGAGGAGGAAGAGGAGGAGGAGGAAGGGGTGAAAGAATAGATCCAGTGTCAGTTTGGGGGATAGGGCTTGTCGCCCTTCAACAATAAAGCCACCCTTACTGGACACCCGGCCTCAGCCCCCAGCATGCATCTCTTATTTTACTACTGGCCCCGGTCTGCCGCCTTCAGACGACAGTAACTCAGCAGCCTTCACACCCCAGCTTCCTCTTCTTCCCTCCAGCACACTGGGTGATCAGTGGGGGTGGGGGTGTTTGCAGCACTCGGTGTGGTTCCTTCTTCCTGTGGTCTCTTTCCCATCCTCACAATTTTTGTGACACCAACCCTCTTGTCCTCCTGTGAATCCACACTTGTGTGACATAAACACTGCACTGGAAATACAGTATGTAAAGTTTGAAGTAAAACGATCATTACTATAGTATTATTATGATTATTATTATTACACATTTGCAATTGTATATGTCATTTGTATAATTCAAACTTCTTGATGCCAGTGGTTTCTAGAGTTAAAGGAAATCTTTTTTGTTTTTCTCTATCTTTTTAAGGAAGCATGTTGTTCCCCATATTAACAGTGGCTGTTTTTATTGTGGCTATTCAGTGAAAAAATGATATCGCAGCTTTTGTAATTTGCTTCTTATATGTTAGCTCTAATACTGCACCCAACCTCACGGTCAACACGTTCTGGTTTTCTTTTGCTTTGCCTATTTTCTATTTCATGCCTTTTTTTTTTTGGAAGGGGGAGTGGCTCATGTAGAGTGTGTGTGTGGTTGTGGAAGGCAGACAGTGTATTCTGGCCCAACAAAACAGTGACGCTGTACAGCTGGAGGAGCCTGTAGTTTTGCCCTTGTTGCAGTGTGAACGGCCGGTGAAGGGCTCAGTGTCTTCCTGCGTTGAAACCTAAACATTAAAACCATACAACAGAAACAGCATGCAAGAGGAGTTTTAATGTGAATTTACCTTTTTCATGTTTATGTACAGTATGTCTCTGTAGAGGCAGAACGCCCTGCGCTCCAGCAGCCTGAATGGTGAGGTCTGAAACATGAAGCAGAAACGTGAAGATGCGTAAGAAGAAAAAGATTTGATCCCTTTCTTGTTTTGTATTGGCGCCACCATCAGCGGATGACAAACATTATAACGAGAAACGTTTTCTTAACATAAGATACTTAATCTTAAAGTGACTTTTTTGTTAAGATGACGTTCTGCCCTTTGACCCCACCGCTGCCTTTTCACACACATTGATGATTTATAGAAATGTCAGTGAGCAGTCGTTCATCCTGGACTCCTGCTTCCATCAAGAGCCTTTTTTTTTATCTGGCTGGTGGCGCTGAAACGGGGCTTGGCGAGGGGGCGATGCACTGTTGGTGGCGCCTGCTGTTGCTAGGCGACAGCTGAATATCTGCTTGAAGTTCAGTACTGTTCCTAAAAGTTAAGATATTTTTAGCAGGTCCTCCCCCTCCCCCAATCAAAATGACAAACAGAAGAAGTCAGCGCTGTAAAGAAAGGATCCCACTGGATATGAGACCTTTCCTACTTCCGGAGTCGAACTGCAGAAAGGTGGTGCTGACCACCTGTTTGTCTCTATGAAGCACATACACTTAGGCTTTTATCAGCGATGAAGGATGAAGAGTGTGTTCTTGGTTGTGCAGGGATTCTGTGGTCTGGTTCCTCATTTCAGGGCAGGTCTTTGACACAGGATGCAATATTTCTGTGTGTGTGTGTGTGTGTGTGTGTGCGTGCTCGTGTATGCATGAACAGTATATCCATTGCTCTCAGTGTGTATTTACAAACCTGGGGGGTGGGTTTTGGAGGTGTGTGTTGTGCCAGAGAAGGCTTTATTTCGGAGGACATATCAGTCCCCTGCCTTCAGTCCAGGACTTTCTTCTTATGATCTGTTTTTTTTTTTTCATGTTTTATCTTTTTCATGTTTTTATTCTCCTGCTCTTTGATTTGTGTTACAGTAAAGTGTTGTCAGCTTTTCACGACACAAAGTGCTCGTGGCAGGATTGAACGGATGGACTTTGCAGCGCTGAAGACTGATGTCGGGGTTTGACTTGCGATCAGCTCCACTGCACTCTGCTCATCCACCACTGGCTGCCTTCGCACTGGTCTCGCCACTATTGGTCAGGCCAACTTATTAAGAGGCGAGGCAGCCGGTTTGGTGAATAGTCCTCAGGTTTCTATTTATTTTTTTATATCTATTTATTTATTTTATTGCATATTTCTATTGTGCTTTTTCCTATTGTACAACTCGTGCACTTCTGCGAGTACTGTCCGCTGTGTCAAGGGTCACTCTGTGTAAAAGGTGACATGTTTTAAAGGGATAGTACACCCAGTCTGCATCCTGCAGGTGTTTTTCTTCCAACATGGTGCGACTTAGTTACTCTTTTTCTGCAACTTTGCTTTAGCATTTTTATGGTGTTTGCGTGTTTCTTCCACGTAGAACATAACCACGTTGCCAGAGTGAGACATCTGTTACTTTAAAACTCATGATATTGGATTGTATTTTGTGTGAACTATCTCTCCCTTTCAGAGGAAGTGTTTTTTCTGTATTCAAGTCACAGTAGCACTGTTCACGTCTAGTTAGCCCTCTTCTAATACTGAAAGGTTAAAGGTCACCTGGAGGAGTTCATGTGATCATGCTAATCGAACATGACCCCCACCCCTCTCCAAAAAACAAATCGCAGCATGTACAGTACAAAGGTGTTGTTCTTCTGTTCTTCTTAGTGTTTACTAGCCTTGAACATCAGTATAAGAGTCACATATTTCAAGCGAGGGAGTACACAGAGTTACCCAACTGCAGCTGACTAGCAGTGTAGCTGGTGTTTTCTTTGCATGACAGTCGGCAGGACACTTGTTTTTTGGTGTTTTCCCTTTTTTATTTGGTTTCTCATTTTCTACTGAACGCTGGTAAACTCAACCTTTCTCTATTTTCTCAGCTTTTTAAGTGCATAGAACTATTTTTGTGGCCAGATGATATAATGAAGATGATCATTATGATGAGGATTAATGACTGTGGCACTAAGAATGACTATAGGATGTTGATGATGTGATGAAGAGTATTTCGCATGCTTCTCTATGGGGCTCTGTGTTGTCAGTGCAGAACAGCTGTCTTCTGTACATGAGAGAACTCGAGGAGCACTTGTTGACCATCAGCACCCAGAGTGACTGGTGCTTCACTGCAGGAACAGCTCTGAGTCCCACTGACAGATTAGAGGCAGCTCAGAGGGAATCGGCTCCAGCAGGGGGCGCAGTCACACAACGTAAAGCACAGACAGACACAGGTGGAGGCAGACGGATGCTTCTAATGGAGCTGCACCGTGAGTTGGCTTTAGTGTTAAATCTGACTCAGTCCAGTCAGAGACAACAGCAGTTTATCACTGTAGAAGAAGAACCAGCTCCCATTAGGATCATTGCTCAGGGCTACACCCTGATAAACGGCCCCAGCACCACTGGTAAATCCTGATTCTGTGTGAACTGTCAAAGCTGAAATCAGGCTGGACACTGACGACCAGTGCAGACCTACATATAAACTGCACTAACCATCCTGGTCTGGTCTCTTGAGCTCAGTGTGAGCTCTGCTGCCTTCCTGTCAGCTGTTTAGTCAGATGAAGCATCGCTGAGAGAAACCAGAGCCCCTGTGTTCACTCTGAACCTCCACCATCTTCTTTCTGCAGCCGCTGACTAAGCTGCACTGACAACACTGAGTCGGCTTCTCTCTGTACCAAGTCTTTCACTCTGTTTCCCAGTCCCTCTGTTTCCAACCTTCTTCAGTCGCCTCTTTCTAGTTTCTCTGTCTCTTTTTGTCCCTTTGGATTTCTTCTGTATAATAATATGAATCCTCTAGTTCTCTGATTCTTCAGATTATTGCTCTGTTCTCTTACGTGCTACACGTGTTTCTCTAACTTCAAGAAAATGTGTTAAGGTGTTATCAATAAAATGACAGTTTCATTAGAAAACCTCACCTCTCTTTGTGTTTACAGACTCAGAAACTGCAGCACAGTTTGGATTCTTATTGTCAGATCCAACCAGGCACATAAGTTAACTCTTGTATTGAACAGAAGATTTACTCACCACATAGAAAGTGTAGAAGCTTTTTAATAGAACATGAAATGAATCCACAGTGAAAATCTCTATTTTCTGATCTTTTACTGACTAAGGAGAAAACCATGAACCAACAGATCAGTTAGAAATGGTCTTTAGCTGCAGCTCTAATCCACAAACTTTTCACACCAACAACTGAGGGACCTCTAATGTTCCTACATATCTTGGCGACTGTAGTTTACATTGAACCTTGAGGAGAAACATAAATTGTGTCGACATTATCAAACATGTCTGCAGAATTTTCTACCATCAGTGAATCACAGATAAGGAAGGAGAACGAGTTTGTTCACCTGGACAAAACTAAATCAACTCTACAATACGTCTGACAGTCGACAGTAATCTGTGAAGCACATGGTGAACAAATAACAGGTTCACTCACATCAACATTCACTGTTTGTTCCATCTATTAAACACAAATGTTTTGTTTTTAAACTGAAAAAATAATGTCTTTAACTGAATTACTTGAAAAAAAGAAAAAGTCAATTTAAAAAAAAAGGATTTTCTCTCATTTTATGGTTTAAAATGAAAATTAACCATCTGTACCCAAAGTTGGTTCACCTGGATCTCTACATTTTCTTTACGTAGTTTCAGTTTACATGATCTTAAGATGTAAAGTTCTAACTGAAAAACCAGCCCCATTATAAAAACCCTAATGACTCACTACCACCTCCCTGAACATCACAGAGAAATCTGACTGGGACACATTTTGATATCAGTGGTTTTGGCATCACCAGCATCTCCAATACCAAAATAAGGGATGAGTTTCTCAGTGAAAGTGTCTCTGTGAGTGTAGATGTGAGTCATGTCTTCAGCGTCGTAGAAGGACACCTCCCCCCTGTCATAGTCCAGCTGGACTCTGATCCTCTGGAGACTCTGATTCACTCTGACAGTCTGACCAACAACATCAATGTATTTTCCATCACGATGCGTTAAACACCAGATTCCATATTTTGGTAAAGCGGGATACTTTCCCTTCCTGTCAACTGACTCTTTGGCCAAACCCACATTCCAGTCAGGATGGTCTCCCACCTCCACCTCCCAGCTGTGTTTCCCTGAGCTGAAACCCTCAGAGCCCAGAACATCGGCATAGTAAGTGTTTCTCTCTGGATTGTCAGGGAGCTGCTGCTTTGTGTCTTCATGTCTCACACTGGTCAGATCATCAGACAGATGGAG